TAGTGAACAAGACAGAAAAGGAATGTGCCTTCAGGAAACTTTGAGTTAGGGCAGGAGATTTTCAATATATTTCTATTTATTGATTTACTGCTTACATACTTCAAAGTAGGGTGATATTGCTACACAGAAAGGAGACAAGTAACCTAATTTAACCCACTAACACTCCGAGCAAGTTTATTAACCTCATTATATGTATACATATTTAAAGGAATCTTAAAGAGGGAACTTTGAATTGACAAGGGGTGGGCGTGGGGGAGGTCGTGGTTGCTATTTCTTTGATATCTCACTGGGCCTTACTCATGAACAGAGAAGGTAGGCAAAAAAAGACCCTCTCTACAAAACAGCAAAGAGAAACTATTATTACTTTTGCTTAGTTTGGAGAGAAAACTAAGATCAATAGTTACTGCTTCTTGCACTCAGTTTAGGTGCAAAGGAGAAATATCCAGAAGTTTGTATGGGGATGCTACAAGAAGCTATGTCAAAGTACCTGAACTTGAGCTCTCAGAATCTATCAATACACACTTTGGGGTAAAAACACAGTTTCACCGAGAACATAAGTTAGTGCTAATTGATTTTTTCAGGGCACCCTTCACATCTTTATTCCTTAAGCTGTAGATCAGTGGGTTTAACATGGGGATGACAACTGTGTAGAAAACAGAGGCCATTTTGTCCGTATCCATGGAGTAACTGGAGCTGGGTCGAAAATACATAAACAGAAGTGTTCCATGAAATATAGCCACAGCGGTTAAGTGGGTGGCACAGGTAGAGAAGGCCTTGTGTCTCCCCTCTGCTGATTTCATTCTAATAATGGTAGTTATGATGTAGCTGTAGGAGAGGAGCACAGTGACAATGCTGCTCCCTACAATACAGCTACCATAAGTGAGCAACACTATTTCATTGATAGATGTATCTGAGGAGGAGAGGGCTAATAAGGGTGGGAAGTCACAGAAAAAGTGATTGATGATATTAGAATTGCAAAATGACAATCGGAATGTGCAACAGGTGTGGATTGCTGAATCTACTAAACCCACAATGTAGGCAATGGCCACCAGCTGTGTGCAGACCCTCCTGGACATGGTAATTGTATAAAGAAGTGGATTGCAAATGGCTACGTAGCGGTCATATGCCATGACAGACAACATGACACATTCTACATCTGCAAAGGCACCAAAAGAATACATCTGCATTGCACATAAATTATATGAAATTCTCTTTCGCTCAGATAAGAAATCGACTAGCATCTTGGGAGAGACCGTGGAGGAGTAGCAGACATCGCAGAAAGACAGATTGCTCAGGAAATAGTACATGGGCGTGTGGAGTCTGGGGTCCGTGCTGATCAGCAGGATCATCCCCACGTTGGCAATCACAGTGATGCCATAAACCAGCAGAAAGAGCACAAAGAGCCCCAGCTGTACGTCCTGTCTGCCAGAAAGTCCTACAAATACGAAGTCGATAAACACGGTACAGTTCTCCACAGCCATCACTCAGGTGTGGAAGCCCTGGTTGTGAAAAGAGAAATGGAAGTGAGGGGTTAACACTGTCTTACTGTCTTAATAGTTAAACTACTGTTGCTTTCTCTTTTTCAGTAATTAGGAAAAGAGGTAAACAATGACAAATCTGCTTAAGGGAAAATGCCTCTTCTGGGATATATTTAATTTAGTATAAATTGATGAAATATTAATAACATTGCTTACATTTGTATAACATTGTACAGAGTTTGTAGTGAACTTTCATCCAAAATAAATCATGCTCTTTTCACACCTACCTATGATAATTATGATATTTTCTGCTACCTCTATCTTATATTAAGAAATTGATGTCTTCAGTGTTCTAGGCAATAGTTTTTATAATTATTTGGTCCCGGTAACTCACATGTTCTGAGAAGATTGTTTTTGTTTTCACTGTTGTGGAAATGTTGTTACACCCTGTGATAGAAAAGCAGAGTTAATGAGAGTTAATGAGAGGTGCATTTGTTTTTTCCTCCTCATCAACAATTGTGGAGCAGGCAGAGCTATTGCAGGTTCATAGGTATAACATTCCCTCACTGCCTTATTAACCTCTCATGTCCTATCCAGCCTTAGTGAACAAGAGACAGAGATATTCTGTGATACAGGACCTACTGGAGCAGAGAGGGTGGTGGTCGCCAGAGAGTTTTGATAGGTCTCCATGAAGGATATGCTAGAATGCACAGTTAGGAAGATGCCAGGGCCACCACGCTCCCTCTGATAGCTGCTGTGTTCAGGGGAGAGTCTAAAAAATGTTTGGGACTTAATTGTAGGGATGCTATTATCACAGGTGACATAGAGGGATTACTTATGTATTACTGTGCGAGTCCACCAACTCTAATCTACTAGAATCCACATGATCTATAACAACAAAAGCGATCTGTAAGACACGTGTAAAAGTTCTCACGCGCCAGCAGTCTCATTACCACAGAAAGGTTCATGTCTAAACTATGCCCTCATCCCAGGACCCTTGAAATTATAATATTGCTTGATTGTTTTCACTGATCCCTGTTTTACTTGAATATCGCTGAATTCTACCTCCCTTTGGTGGTGATGCTGGTCTTGGGAGGTGAATGAAATTCTATGTCCCACTGCCATATTTTACCCAACCAGTTATGTTGTACGTAAAATCAGACGTGACCTCCTTCTTTCTGTGAGAATACAGGGAAAGTGGAGTAGACGGTAGATGAAGACAGAAAGATCGTATATATATAATGACCTAGTGATCAATATACAAGTTTCCAAAGCCTTGGTCTAAACTCATTTAGATAT